ACGTACATCCATAACTTTCCATCGTATCGTAACATGGCGAACAATATTAGGAGAACACAAATGGTGATACTGCTGTTGTTCCGCTTTGTAAAAATTCTCACTCATATATATTCGCGAACGCCCTGCTACCAACTGGACGTCGTAATCGGCCTCTAGCTTCGCCATAACTCTATTATATAACCTACAAAAAACCAAGCTGTTTTTGCAGTGTTGTTTAACCTTTGTTGTTGTACTGTGCTATGGGTGGTTTGTTTCACTATTTGCGAAAAATTTCTAGAGATGAAATTACAAGGTATCCACACCGTGGATTGTACACACTGGAAATAAATGTTTTAATTGTCGAGGGGATAACTCCTGGGTGCACTGATAGGGAAGGCCCGCCGATGACAGACAGTAACCTAAATTCAACATACAGAGTTGCAATGATTCCTAAGTCCTATGCTCCGGTGACTCGCGTGTACAATGGATAACACCCGTTAAAATTATCAGCACCCTTGACGCACTCACGCTGGATAACGTATTATACCTTCTCGCGGTGTCCCGTTCAGCGTATAATCTCGCGGTGTCACATACTGAATGCCTGCATTTATACATTCTCCTCTTCTGATCTTATAGAAATTCATCATATTCTACGCGATCCACAGTTGATATTTCCCAAATGTACTGTATTAGTTACTAGTTATGGACAAACCTTAAAAAGAGAGTGAATTGAGAGGCATTTTTCTGCGTCATTCGTGGTTGGAATGCAATCAGCAAATGATTAATCCTCGACTTCCGGAAAATCATCCTAGACTCTTCCCCTGGCAAACTCTCCCTCTCCCTCCTGCCTCGTCGCTAAGGAATCCTTTCCGTGGCTTCATAGTTGCTGACCTCTGCTATTTCTCTTTGTTCTCTCTAGCCTGTATCCCACCCCAGCAGCCGGTATCACTCTCTCATGATCTATGCCCCAACCGTCGCGTCTAATGATCAGCTCTCCCGGTAACGATTACGGTCTGTTTAATAACAAGTCATGATAAAAACATATTAAATGTAGGTAATGAAAATATGGGTGTGAAAAAATGGTAAATTTGAGTCAACGGATTAAGAGGCAGTCATGCTATCCACAAAACCACAGAGGATTACATATTTGTTGATAAAATGCATATTTATATAGGCCTATTGCGGCGTCTACCTCTTTATTCTCATCTATGATATGTATAGCTATCTATCTGTCTATCTATCTATTATATATATATATATATATATATATATATATATACATACATACATACATATATATATATATATATATATATATATATATATATATATATATATATATATATATATATGTATATATAGATTTATGTCTTTCTCTTTTTTTTCTCTCTCTCTCTTCTTTCTCTCCCTCCCTCCCTCCCTCTCTCCCTCTCTCCCTCTCTCCCTCCCTCCCTCTTTCTTTCTCTCTCTCTCTCTCCTTCCCTCCCTCCCTTCCTACCCCCCTCTCTCTTTATTTCTCTCCTATCCTTCCTTTCTCTCTATCAATCTATCTATCTCTATCTCTCTCTCCCTCCCTCTCTTCCTCTCTCTCCCTCCTTTCTCTCTCTCTCTCTTTCTCTCTCTCCCTCTCTCCCTACCCCCCCCTCTCTCTCTCTCTCTCTCTCTCTCTCTTTCTCCCCCTCCCTTCCTTACGTAGCAAGGCTAATGTATTACATCAAATATATGAATCCTAAGTTAGAAATATGTACGAACTTAAATCAATCCTATTTAACAAAATTGAACCAATATATGAATTTGTGATTATGATTGATCTGTGGTAATTTTGCATCCTACAAAGGTGAGAATATTCATTATATCTGTATGGATGTCATTTTTATGATTAAGCAGAGCATAATGTACAATCTCTTTCAATGAAATATTTTTGGATTAATTTTATGTGTATGTTATATGCTCCTGTAGATATGATTATAATTATATTTATTTGTATAAAGTATATATGTATTTGTATAAAGTTTTCTTATTATTATTATCATTATTAATATCTCTCTCTCTATCTATCCTATCTATCTATCTATTATCTCTCCCTCTCTTCCTCTCTCTCTCTCTCTCTTTCGCTCACTCACTCACTTGCTCTTCCTCCCTCCCTCCCTCCCTCCTTTTTCTCTCTCTCTCGCTCGCTCTCCCTCCTTCCCTCCCCCCCTCTCTCTCTTCCTTTCTCTCTTCCCTTCTCCCTCTCTCTACTCTAATTCAACCCGTAAATAGAGAAGCCAGGGTTCCCTTGCGCGGGGAGGCGGTCGAGGCACAGGGTCGGGCTAGATGCGGGGAGGGAGAGGAGGAGAGGAGAGCGTGTATAGGGTGGATGGGGAGGGAGAGGTGTGTTGGGGGGAGGAGAGGAGAGCGTGTATAGGGTGGATGGGAGGAGAGGTGTGTGGGGGGAGGAGAGGAGAGCGTGAGGGGGATG